AGGTGCATCTAGACATCAACTTCAGCAGCAGCAGCGACAAGCAGCAGAAGTTTGTCAGCTCATGGAGGGAGTCGACGACCTTCCCACATTCCAAGATGCTGAGAGGCCCCGTGCTGATCCGCTTCGTGATCGAGATCCATGGGCAAATGCGAGTGCTACCCCAGTCGATGGGCCACCAACGCCAAATACTCAACAATGTGCTGGCGGACATGGTGCTGGGGCAGGCCTGGCGCTGGAGGCCAGGCTCGCGACCATCTTCACCGAACAGATGCAGCTGGCCACATCGAGACTCCAAGCAGAGACCACCTCTATCCTGCAGTCGGCCACGTCCACTCTTCATAATTAATGTCAAGCAGTCATCGGTCAAGCTCGCCAGCAGGATTCGCGGCTGGAAACAGTGGATTACACGGTCAGGGACATCAATCAGAGAGCCCATGTTGTCGAGCAGGAGCAGCAGCAGCAGCTGCGCGCCGACGTCGAGCGTATCCAGGCCGGCCTCGCTATGGCGGAGGCGACGCCCCCACCGCTCGACATGGCAGCGCTGGCAGTCTGCGATCGCCCACCAGACCCTCGCCTCCTATTCCACTGGCGCAGCGACAGCAGCGCAGCCATCAGAGGTCCGTAGGGCCCTGGAACCATGGATCAATGCAGCCGGCGTGGCCGTTTCGGACGTGGAGCTGGTCGGCGACGTGCCATCCAGACGACTCGACCTACTGGTCCCGGGCGGCGCTGCAGCGTCGCCACGCAGCGTGCCCCTGGCGAGGGGCCTCCGCCAACGGGGGCAGATGGAGGCATTTCTCCTGCAACAACGCCAACGGCGCCGTCGCCCCGCCCTGCATCAACGCAGACAAGAGCCCCAAAACATTACGGCGTGAAACCTAGACGAAGAAGCTCGTTCAAATACTTGGAGAACGGCATGAGGGGCATTTCTTCGGGAAGGCGGGCAACGACGGGATCGTCTCCTGCAACGCCATCCCTATCGTCAGCGCGGAGGTCGGGGACAACACCTCCGCTGCCGCGCAACTCAGATGGGACGGTGCAGCCATTGCCAGACTTGGGATTGACAAACAAAGCAGTAATGGCACATTCCAACGCATATTTCGCGTCACCGACACTTCGCCGTGGTTTATTTAACGGTAGGTGGGCCCCGTGGCGCATCGACCAATTCAGTGTTGACTCAAGATTGGGGCAGTTCATGTCTTGGAATGCCCAGGGTCTCCGCTGCCACAATGCGCGTCGAAGGAGAAAGAAGCTACCTCGACTTGAAAGATAGTGGCGCCAGGGTTCTCTCCTTATGCTTCAAGAAACGCACGGTGTCCGACAACAACTTGAAGTGCCCATAGCGCCCTCCCTCTTTCCTCATCGTGCGTGGCACTCGCAGGCGGCGCAGGCAAGGAAGAGTCGCGTTCCTCCTGCCATGGGATCACGACGCGCAACCAGCGCAACGCCCTCATGTTCAATGTCATACGCTAGTGCCTGGGCGGATTGCGACACTTCGCATCGACTCCGCTGATGGCCACTATTTTATGTTGGTCATGAATGTACACAACTATGCTATTGCTCCCACATTCAAACAGCTTGTTGCCAACGCTTGGAAGGATGCGGTTGAATGGAATCCTGGTGGCCCCCATCACCGCGCGTTCATTGCCACGGGCGGCTTCAACATTCGCGATGGAGAACCTCTCAGTTACGATGAGCCGACTCCATTGCGAACACCATTACCGACGGCGCGGACATTCAAGCCGAATGAGGTCTTCTGGCGTGCTCTCTTTGATCTAACACAGGAGGTGCAGGCCGACATCCCATACCACCTCAGTCGCCAACGACACACCGCCTCCGCCGTTGACAGGACCTGTCTTGCCATACCCGGGCCCTTCCTCCTCGACGCGGATGTCCTCCTGAATGTGGATTCCGAGCCGCTCGGGATGTCCCAGGGGAGGCTCAGCGACCATTCCATATTGCTGCTCAACCTCAAGTTCAAGGCACCGGGAGACGCCGCGGACCATCGCATCTCAGATGTGGTGTTCAGCGACGTAAGGTATAAGGTTATACTGGAAAGGCTTATGGATGCGGCGGAACTGGAGCGTTTCTCTCCCGTTACCAGATGGCAGCATCTGAAGGATCTGACGATTGAAGCGGCAAGACAAACTCGAGATGAATTGCAACGGCCCCCCCTCTCGTGCAGGTGACAAGCGTGTCAGAGGAGGGCGCAACATCACGTCACGTAGCATATCTCGCGCGGTCCGGAGACAAGATACGAAGCTCGCGGCGCTTGTCATCGCTAGTTCAGACGAGGATGCCAACTATCTTCAACTTCTAGATGGACAGGTTCAGCCGAGGGAGTCAGACGCTTTTCGCCGTTAACTTCGCCCCCTACATTCTGCCGAGCTCCAGGCCAACCACGGATTTGCAGTACAAGCAGCTCAACGTGCCCCACGAGGTGGTCAACAGCAGGTGGCAGCACGCCACTTCAAATCAATCAAGGCTATTCGCCGCCGTGCCATGCCATGGAGACCCCAAGGCTGTCGTCTCGTTCTTGCAGGGGCCCGCCCTGAACATGCCCTCGAGTCCTCCCAGTCGGCAACCACCAGAGATCCCAGCAGTGTCTTGGAGGCCCTTCGACGTCACTGGTCAGCGGTCTCTCGGGCAGAACCAGCCAATCGACTGGAGATCAGACAACACTTGGAGCGACACGATCCGGCCCACGAGATGGCCGACCGAGCAATGCCCAGCATCACGGACCTCAAGAACACGCTCAGACATGTACGTCACAGCGTTCCTGGCCCCGACAGGCCCCCCGCACGCGGCTTGGATGGTCTCGGAGGGCCAGATCGCAGTCCTGCGCGGCCTCTCGCAGCACCTCATGGCGGGCCACCACGCACCAGAGGCCCTGAATGACCCCGGATCGCGTTCTTGCCCAAAGCAAGTGAGCCCAGCGATGCTTGCGAGTGCCTGCGTAGCCCTGATCGCAGCTTCAGCGGCCAAACAGAAGCTCAAAGGACTGGCCCGTACGCGCACGCACCAAATCCAGCAAGGATTCGCCCCTGGCAGGAATTTCCTTTACAATTTGCCCCAGCTAGACACAGCCGCCCGATCGGCCAGCATCAGCGAGACAGCCGAAGCTCAGGCGCCTGTCTTTGTTGCGTTCGATATAGCCGCTGCGTTTCCACCCCTTGGCCACGACTGGCTGCGGGAGGTTCCCTCGCGATTTGGCGTGCCTCCTGGATCTGTGAATGCTCTCGCCTCACTGCACTTTGAGCCCCGCAGCCTTGCTATGCTCCAGATTTAACACGCGTCTTTCCTGTCTTCAAAAGCGCCGAGGGGCTCGCAAAATTGCGGCCCCAGCCCAGCAAGACTGTAGTCGTTCCCCTTTGGGCGGGGGTCGCGCCAGAGGTTGACCATCGCATTCGCTCATTCTTAGAGCCAAACATCCCCGAATGGCGCGGTTTCAAGATTGCTGGCCAGGTTAAGTATCTCGGAGTGCAAATTGGACCCGCGGCCACAGGGAGCTGAGTTTGGGCGGAGTCCATTCGTGAATGGTGTAGTCGGACTTGCGACATTCCACGATCGACCGCACCATCGGGTGTCAGCATGTTCCTGTACAACAGCACTGCCCTCTCGACAATCAGTTAGCTTGCGCAGCTTTATACATTGCCAAACGTTGTCTTGCACAAGGAAAAATTCGCTCTGCACAAAGTCCTCCGTTTGCCGCCCAGCACGCTGCGATTGACCGATTTGTTTTCTTTCAGAGCACACGGCTAGGTGGCTCCCGCTTCCGCGCTTCTCATGAATGCGGCGAGCCTGTGGGGATTCGGCTTTCGCATTTCGCGAGGCTGGGAATCGCTGCTGCATGAATGGTCTGAAGCGGCGATTCATCAAGTTCCACTCGTGCGCTGGACGAGCGGGCAATGGAGTGCACCTTGCTAGCAAATAGGGCAAGGCTTCACGCAACGATTTGACAGGCTCACCGGGGAGCCACCCTTTTCATCAATCCCTGTGGCTCCCTGGCGATCGGCACTGGCAGCGGCTCGTGACGAACAGGCCAGCGCGGCGGGTGAAGGCCGCAAAGGGAAGGTCCAACGTTTTCTTTTTTGCTGCGCGCCTCTCTTTTTCCACCTGGCTTCGGGATCGCTACCACGAAGCGTTTGTCTGCGCGGGGCCTTTCCGCCTCGATTAGTGGGGCGGTGGGTGAGCGGTGGGGGGAATACCTTGCGGTGCTCCGCACATTCAAACCTGCATGGCAATGGGGCCTACTCAAGACCCTTGCAGGAGGGTGGACAACATCACACCGCATGCACGTCAGTGGAGTTATATCATGTATGTTTGGTTGCAGTCAGCTGCCCGACTATCGCACACTACCTCACCTGCCCTGTCCTTGGTTAACTCCTCGCCCTCCCCCCTTTTCACCCTTTTAACACTCGGCCTTGGTGCCGACAGCGGATACAACTGCGCAGCGTGCGCACTCTCACGCAGTGCCGCCATGCGCCTTGGTGTGCTCTCCTTTCACACCTACCATAAGCTCAAGGCGACGCTGGTTCACGGAACCGCAGCGAACCCTTTCAGAGCAAATTGTCGCTGTAGCAGATGCCGTGCACGCCACTGGCAACTAAGCGTGCGGCATGATTGTTGCCCCCCCAGGAACGGTCGATCATCATCATCATCATCGTCATCATCAGCAGCATCATCATCATCACCAGCATCATCATCATCATTCTCCTCCTCCTTATCCCCCTCCTCCTCCTCCTCCTCCTCTTCCTCCTCCTCCTCATCCTCCTCATCCTCCTCCTCCTCCCCCTCCTCCTCCTCCTCCTCCTCCTCATTCTCCTCCTCCTCATTCTCCCCCTCCTCTTTCTCCTCCCCTTCCTCCCCCTCCCCCTCCCCCTCCTCCTCCTCCTCCTCCTCCTCCTCCTCCTCCTCCTCCTCCTCCTCCTCCTCCAGTGCTGGCCCCGGCCCTGGCGTCGACCGTGGCCCTGGCCTCGGCGCCCCCCCCTCCCCGTCAGATCGACACCGACGGCGATGGCGTCATTAGCCGGTCGGAGTTCTCCGCCTTCCAGTCGAGGGGCGCCCAGGCGCGCGATGCCTCCCGTGGCCAGCGGGCGGCGCGAGCCAGTGCGGCCGCGGCGCTGCGCAGAGCACGGCGACGACGAGGGCGGCGACGAGGGCGGCGTCGACGACGAAGACGAGGATCACGAGGAGGAGCACGACGACGACGACGACGACAGCGACGGCGACGGCGACGGCGACGGCGACGGCGACGGCGACGGTGGCGGCAATTCGGACGACGACGACGGCGAGGAAGACGACAGACATGAGAACGAGGGCAAGGACGGTGGTGATGGCGATGACGAAGGCGAGGACGGGTGTCGAGATCGGCGACGATGTCGACGACCACGGCGGGGAAGAGCACAGCGAGCGGGCCACCCGCAAGGGCGGAGCCATTCGACATCCTTCTCATCCTCTCCATATTGCGAAGGCCTGACGGCCGGTGCCGCCGACCCTGTTCGCAATGCGCAGCAAGAGGCACGGGCTGTGGGATGGTTTTGGGGAACGGGGAGAAGGACGAGAAGGTGGGGGAGGGAGGTGTCGTATCTGACCCGGGACTTCCCCGGGACTCCCCCGGGACCCCCCCCGGGACCCCCTCTCCCTCCCCCGGCGGGGAAGGGAAAGGGAAGGGGCTTCCCTTCGACTCAATTACGACGTTGCTCAAGGTCGGTACGGGGGGGGGGCGTCGTATCTGACCTGGGGGGGGGGTCGCTACCGCCCCCCGCTACCCCCCCCTCGCCTCCCGGCGGGGGAGGGATCAAAGGGAAGGGGCTTCCCTTCGACTCAATTACGAGGTTGCTCAAGGTCGGCTTGGCTGGAGCCCAGGGGAAGAGGAGTCCCAGGGGGGGGCGTCGTATCTGACCCGGGGGGGGGGTCGCTACCCCCCCCCCCTCCCGGCGGGGGAGGGATCAAAGGGAAGGGGCTTCCCTTCGACTCAATTACGAGGTTGCTCAAGGTCGGCTTGGCTGGAGCCCAGGGGAAGAGGAGTCCCAGGGGGGGGCGTCGTATCTGACCCGGGGGGGGGGTCGCTACCCCCCCTCCCGGCGGGGGAGGGATCAAAGGGAAGGGGCTTCCCTTCGACTCAATTACGAGGTTGCTCAAGGTCCCAGGGGAAGAGGAGTCCCAGGGGGGGGCGTCGTATCTGACCCGGGGGGGGGGTCGCTACCCCCCCCCCCCCCCCCCCCTCCCGGCGGGGGAGGGATCAAAGGGAAGGGGCTTCCCTTCGACTCAATTACGAGGTTGCTCAAGGTCGGCTTGGCTGGAGCCCAGGGGAAGAGGAGTCCCAGGGGGGGGCGTCGTATCTGACCCGGGGGGGGGGTCGGTACCCCCGGGCTTCCCTTCGACTCAATTACGAGGTTGCTCAAGGTCGGCTTGGCTGGAGCCCAGGGGAAGAGGAGTCCCAGGGAAAGGGAAGGACAAAGACGACGAGTACAAAGAATGACGGAGATGACGGCTCGAACGGAAAAGCCCCTCACACACGCCGACAGGGTCGGCGGATTCCTCATCCTTCTCCTCCCCCGCCCTTCTCCCTCCCCCATCCCCCTCTCTTCACCCTCCTCGTCATCCTCATCCCTCCTCGTCCTCATTCCTCCTCGTCATTCCTCCCTCCCTCCCCTCTGGATTACAACTTCTGTGCTTGTTTATTGGTCGCGCTGCACATGCCTGTAATTCTCCTAGAGCCATGGCCTCCCCCACCTGGTCTCAGCTGTTGGCTTAGGTCCGACATGTCCTCCTACAGGCGGACTTTGGAAGAAAGATAAGCCATAGTCGGAAGATGGCCAAACACAGCCCCGCGGAGCACGAAACATCGTCACCACGTCATGCTCTACTGCTCTCGAATACTCCTCATGTAGTGCGACACGCCCGACCGACAGCAAGGGGCGGACGACTGTCCGCGGTGGTGGTTCATGCGTTCGTCCCCTCCCTCCACCTACCCTCCCTGATGCACGGGCTGTGTCTTCCTCCTCCCCCGCCTTTCCTCTTCCCTCCTCTCCCGCTTCCTCCTCCCTCCTCCTGCTCCTCCTCCCCCCTCTCCGCCCCGGCCCCAAAGGTTTCTCGAACACCCTGGAGATCTCCAGAGGTCTCCGGATGTCTCTGGGGGGCCCAAGGGGCCCAGGAAGGGCAAGAAGTAGCTTGGCGAAGGGCCAAACCCTATGCAGTTGAGTGCAGCGAGGACGCGCCCTGTTTCTGCAGTGCAGACAGAGGGCTGCAGAGTGAACGCCCCGCTGGTGCCGTCAGTGGAGCTCCACGGGGGGCACCAGACGTGTGAGCAGGGGCGTGCCGAAATGGGCGGGGGGCGGCATGCGGACGCTCCCTCTGAAGCCGTCGGTAGAACTCCCTGTGTGGCGCGAAGCGCGTCAGGGGTGTACCGAAATGGACGTGGGCGGCATGCGGACTAAATCGCCGGGTCCGTAGGTGGAGCTCCCCGACTGGGGCACGAAAAGTGTGAGGGGTATGTCGGATGAGCGGGGGTGGCATGCGGTCTCACGCACTGAAGCCGTAGGTGGAGCTCTTTGCCGGGCACGAGGAGTGCGGGGAGATCTGCAGAAATCGACGGGCGGGACGGCATTTCCACGCGCACCCACTGGTGAGGCCGTCGGTGGAGCATCCGCGAGGGGGCATGCAACGCCGGAGGGGTCTGCGGAAGTGCGCGGGCTGCGGGGAGGGAGGGCCTGCGGCCGCACCCTCTGAGGCTGCAGGTGGAGCTGTACGTGTAAAGGTTTCGCCGGCATGGGCGACTGCAGGCAGGAGGAGGAAGAGTGGGAGAAAGAGGCAAGTTAGCCAGGTCGAGGGAGTCAGAGGGCCTACTCCCACTCCCTCTCTCTCACAACACGAGAGAGTCAGGTGTGGCACAGCATGATGTTAAAATTGGAGCGCGCTCCCACTTCGCTAACGGAAGCCGATCGCGCGCGGTTCCGCTTCCGACGGTTTGGCGAAGAGAAAACTACGAGGGCCGCGCAGGGGCGGAGCGGCAAAAGTTCTGATGGTCGCGGCGAAGACATAGCATGCGCCGCGCCGACACAGCACTGCCACTTCCACTCACAAACTGCGCGGCGTTTGGCCGAGGTCGGCATTGCGCCCGCTCTCGCGCGGCTCCGCTGCCGCTGCCGCTTCCCTGCGCGCCGGTGCACGAGCCGGGCGCCGCGCCCGCGCCGGAGCACCGCTTCCAAGCGAAGCAGGCACGGAACTCCAGCGAGGGCGGCAAGTCGCCCACCTCGCGCGGGCCCCAACGGATGCGCGGGTGGTACACGTGTGCGCCGCGCCGAGGCGGGAGGACGCCAGTCTCTGGCGATCTCTGCGCGGCGCCGAGGCAAAGGGCGACGTGCTCGCCCGCCCGCGCGTCGACGCGAGCGCCTGCGCGAGCGGTGCGCCGCGCCCGAGGAGGAGCTCCAGTGAGTGCCGCGCCGGGGCGAGAGCCGCGTCTCGGCCCGTCTCGCACGGGGTGTGCGCCCCGGCCGCCACTCCCCCCACGCAGTTGCCACACCTGGCGTCGCTCGGACGTGTGCATTTTTTCTCGGCGAGAACCATTGAGGACGATCCTGGACCATCGAGCCAAAAAAAACACGCACGAAACCGAAAAGTGCAGGGGAAATGGACGTCCGAGCGATGGCGAGAGCATGGACGAGCGAATGTCCATGTGGGGCGTTCCCAAACGGGCCTTGCCTTCGAGGATAGGAGGAGCTGTCATCTCCTCCTCGGCGGAATGTCGGCGCAAATGAAACGAGGCCGCCTCCGCCGGCGGAAGCTCGGCGGAAGGCGGCGGAAGTAAAAGATGGGCCCCCAAGAGATGAAAACGTTTTTGGGTTCAGGGTTTTCGAAATCGCCCATGTTGAAAGGAAAAGGATCGACTTTGTACTGCTTGTTGACAGGCAGGATGGGGCCACCCGGATGGGGTCGCCTTCGGCCGGCGAGGTGGCAAAGAGAGGGAGTCAGATACCAGTGAGCAATAGAGGTGGGAGCAGGAGGAGAAGGGGCAGGGAGGGGGGGGCGATGCGAGGTGAGGCGAGGCGCGTGCACGGTTCAGCGGGGTCAGGATGAGGCCCCAACAACGCAGGAGGGCCGGGGAGAACACAGCGCAGGGCCGTCTGCCGCCCCACTCGATACGACCCGATTCGCCGGCTAGGGCCGCGATTTCGATCTGATTCAGTTCGATTCGTTTCGCATGCCTCGGATGGGGACAGCCAGAGCTGGGAGCGGCGATATTGCTTCGGTTCGACTCAGGACCATGCGTTGGCGATTCGATCCGATTCGTGATCCGATTTGCGGTTCTACTGGAACACCGATCGTCGACCCTGATCTGTTCCTCCCTCCTCGTCCCGCCTGCCCCAGCAACTGCCGCCCGATTCTGTGCGGGCCACGCTCTCAAGGAGGATTGCAGGTCTTGCTCGGCGGATGAAGGGTCCGCGTCCGAGAAGCAGGCGACTGAGTGGCTCAAGACCCTCTGTTATGATCTCGAGCCTGTGAATGACGCCCTCGGCAAATTCCCGTCGGGCTTCCAAGTCAACTGTGCGGGGGGGCCGCACTCCACACACACGATCGTTCCTGCCGCGTGCAGCCTCGAGCTCTGATTTTATGGAGGTGAGGATGCTACTAATAATTCCAGCAGGCGCGAGACCTCGGGAAACCTTGGTCACCATTTACATGCCCATGTCTCCCTCGTCCTTCCTCGTCCTCCTCCTCCTCCTCCTCCTCCTCCTCCTCCTCCTCCTCCTCCTCCTCCTCCTCCCCCTCCTCCGTCACTCCTCGTCCTCCTCATCTTCCTCCTCCTTCTCCTCCTCCTCCTCCCCCTCCTCCGTCCCTCCTCCTCCGTCCCTCCTCCTCCTCCTCCTCCTCCTCCTCCTCCTCCTCCTCCTCCTGCTCCTCCTCCTGCTCCTCCTCCTCATCCTCCTCATCCTCCTCCCTCCTCCCGCCTCCTCCTCCTGATCCTCCTCCTCCTCGTCTTCCTCCTTCTCCTCTTCCTCCTCCTCCTTCTCCTCTTCCTCCTCCTCCTCCTCCTCCTCCTCCTCCTCCTCCTCCTCCTCCTCCTCCACCTCATCCTCATCCTCATCCTCATCCTCATCCTCATCCTCCTCCTGCTCCTGCTCCTCCTCCTCCCTCCTCCTCCTCCTCCTCGCGGGCCGCGACCCGCAGGGACAGGCCGGCTACCCGCAGGGACAGACCAGCACGACTTCCCCGCTCACCGTGGGCGTGCCGCGCGGCGCGGACATCCAGGCGAGCCCGGCGTCGCCGTCGTCGTCATCGCCGTCGCGGCAGTCGTTTTGCGGGGAGGGCCTCCCCGAAAATGAACCGGATTACAACCGATCGGGACGGATTCCAACCAGTTCGGTACCAATTCCGACCCAATGGGTACCAAGTTCAACCGTTGTGGAATTTCCTAGGAGATTCCTCAAAGAGTTTTCTGAGATGTTTTAGAGATGTCTTACAGATGTCTTGTAGATCCCTCGGGGCACCTTGGAGATTCATTAGAGATTCCGTGGTGAGTCTGTAGAGATTCCTTACGGATTTTACCGGAATCCCGCAGAGGTTATTCTGAGATTCTTGAGAGATCCATTCGAGATTTCTTACAGATTCTTTGGAGATGCCTCCAGGATTCTTCATAGATTCTTCGGAGATTCCGTAAAGATGCTGCTAGCAAGTCCTAAGAGATTCCTCAGGGATTCTTCCAGATGTTTCATGATGCCCCCAGATTCCCCAGAGATTCCTCCGAGAATTTCGAAAGCCTATAGTGATTGTTTACATGTTCTTTCGAGTTTCCTCAGGGATCCCGCAGAGGTTCTCCAGAGACTCCTGAGAGCTGCCTTAGAGATTCCTCGGAGATTCGTCAGGGATTCCTCAAAGATTCTGCAGACATGCCGTAGAAATTTCTAATTGATTATTTAGAGATTCTCTAGGGATTCCTCAGGGATCGCATCAGATTGTTCCAGATTCCCCTGGACTTCCAAGATATTCCTCAGAGATTTCGTAGCGAGTCCTTGGAGACTCCTTCGAGATTCCCTTGAGATTCCTCAGGGTGTCATTTGGATTTCGGAGAGATTCCTCCGGATCCCTCGTGATTATTCAGCGATTCTTTTGGCTTCCTCAGAGGATCCTCAGGATTCCTGGTGATTCTTCAGAGATTCCTTAGAGATTCTTTGAAGTTTTCGAAAGATTAGATTTACCGGGACGTATTGGGACTCTTCAGAGATTCCGTAGAGATCTCTTCGGACGCATGGAAGATTCCGAAGGATTCCGCAGAGATTCCGTAAAAAATCCTTTCTGGATTCTTCAGAGATGTCTTGGGACACCTTAGATATGTCTCAGAGATTCTTGAGGACCCCTTGTGGTTCCTAAGAGATTCCTCGGGATTCTCCGGGATTCCTTCCAGGATCCTTAAGGAATTCTTGAAGGATTCCGACGGGATTCCTTGGGATTCCTGAAGCATTCTTTCCGGATTCATAAGGAATTTCTAACGGTTTCCATCCAGGATTGTTTCAAGCATTCCGGAGGATTTGTTCAAGGATTCTTTTCGGATTATTGAGACAGTCCTTCTGGATTCCTGGGACAGTCCGCCAGGAGTCATTCGACATGTTTTCCTGGTTTCTCGTTGGATTCATCGGAAATTATTTATTAATCGCTTCGCTCATGCCGCCGGCCCTGGAGCCCTCTTTAGGGCCTCTTGGGGACCTCTTGGGAGTCTCTTGGGGCTCCTTGGCGGCGTTTTGGAGGCCCCCAGGGCCTCTTGGGGTTTCTCGTTGGATTCATCGGAAATTATTTTCGGGGTTTTGGAGGCAGGGTACCTTAGGCATGCCTTCCAGGATTCGTGTGGGATGTTTGCGAGACGGTTTTGAGGATGCCTCGGCCGCGTGTCGAACGGCGGCGTGCCCTATCTTCGGGGGTTCGGGCAGCTTCCATGTCCTGGTGGACCTTTACTTGAAGATCAATCACCTCTGATGTACACCCTAGGCGATGCTTAAGAAAACTTACGTTTTCGGCCAGAGTCTTGATTATTCTTACTGTTTCAATGTAAATCTTAAGATTGTGATGGAAATGTTCGGTTTTTTATTCAAGTTCTGAGACTATGAATGTCTTAACCCATGATTTCTTAAGCATTTCGCAGGGTGTAGATATGATGGGAGGCTGGGTTCAGCGCAATCCGATTCGATGCATTTTGAACGGAACACATGAGATATCAAAGCATTCCGCTGGACGCTGAGACCAGCGCATGTCCTTTTGAAATCAGATCGAACAACAGACAGAATATCAAAGCAGTTTGCGGAAGGCTAGGGTCAGCGCGTTTCCTATCGAAGCCGCATTGAAAAATACGTAGGGGATCGCAGAGTTCTGCGGAAGGTTGGGATCGGCACGCCTCCTTTTAAATTCCGCACATGGAAATTTAAACATTGATGTGGGAGGCTGGGATCAGCAGGTTTTCTATTGCATTGAATGTGAAAACAAACGAATCAACTAGTACAAAAAGTTGCGGGTGATTGGGGCCGACGCATTTCCGAGTGGAGTCTGTTTGAAAACAATTTGCATAATATAGTTTTCTGCGGGAAGTTGGGATCAGCGTGTGTCCTATTAAATTCCGATTGCCAAACAGATGCGGGGGGATCAGCGCGTGTCCAGCTGAATTTACGATCGCGAAACAAATCAAGTGTTAAAAGAATTGTGCGGGATGTTGGGATCAGCACGTGTCATATTGAATCCCGAGGGCAAAATAGAATATCAAACAACTATGCGGGATGCTGGGGTCAGCCCATTTCTCATTAAAGCCCCAGTGGAAGCCACAAGAAACGTGAACCAAAGTTTGATGTCGGCACAACGAATGAAACGGTATGCTCGGACCGGCGCATTTCAAATTTGATGTGTTCAAAACGGATAAACTAAATATCATAATGTTCGCAATACACCTATGCATCATAAACAAGCGAGTCGAGTACAGCTTCCCGACCAACATCTATCTCAAATTAACAGACGAGCTGGGTAATGCAAGTGCAATGATACGAACAGAAACAGAATTCCCACATGATAATGTATGAAACGACCATGTACAGTTTACACCGATCCCGCGCCATATCACGCAAGCCTTCGAGGTGTTGTATACCATGGAACGGTTTGTGTGTGCAATTTGCGCACCTGAAGTTTGTTGTCTGGCTTCACTTGGCAACCGAAGTTGTCATGTGTACAGTATGAACTTATCACTCAGGCTTGTCTCATCTTCGGATGGATATCCACTCTTCGTTGCTGTATATGCTACTCCTTGCTCATGGAACTCCCGCAGCTCTTACATGAAAACCGAACAACACGAAGTTTTACGCAACTGCCGTGCAAAAGATCCCCAGCTCTCATACGCAAGCCGTACAGCTCCTGTGCGACTAGCGATCACTGCACAATTTCAAACAACGCAGCTCTGAAATGTCAGAAAGCAAACTAGCACAAGGTTCAGCAGTGTCATTCATGTTTTCTGCCAGAAATAATGTGTCCTCTTAGGACGTCCGGCCGATTTCTGAAAAGCTTCACACATACAATCATTTGGTCGGCTCAAATTGGCTGGTTGTAGTTGATACCGTGTGTTTTGGGGGTCGATTGAGAAGTGGCCCGATTGGTTGGAAGTGGTACCAGTCGGTTGGCATTAGTTTGGAGGGTGAAAGTGGGGGTCGGGCGCAGGGTCCCAGAAATTGTGTCTTTATGGGCCATGAATGGGCGATGCATCCTCGATTGCTGTGTTCGGCGGGGGTGCCAATTGAAGCTCCCCGCCTGCACCCATGCGCGAGACTTGAGGGGAAACGAAGCAAGGTGGCGGGGGGCTCGGAAAAGGCGACGAAGGCAACGTGCGCTGAGGGCGCAAAAAGACAAGGTTGAAATAAACGAAAGCGGTGAGGTGAGTGTCAAAATCTGCCCAGCCAATCTGACATGCGGAACATTGCGCCCCAGGTTTGGGGATCTTGAAGGCCAGGGCAAAATGTGAATTCACATTGTGGGGAAACGCAAAGTGTGAATTCATATGTTGGGAAAAAAGGAAAATACGAATTCACATTTTGGGAAAAAGGTACATGTGAGTTCACAGTATGGAATTTGATGTAGGAGTCTTTATGAAAGGGCCAGAATGTGAATTCACATTTTGGGAACAAGGAGCATGAAAATTCGCATTTTGGGAAAAGGGAAAATGTGAATTTACAGCTTGGGAGAGTCGCGGGACCCATTCCAAATCTGTCTTGGGGGTCGATAGTTCACCGTTTGGGAACATACGCAATCATCAATCGCACAACCAAGACACACTTGCACTCCACTTCGCCTTCCCACGCGCAGAATGCAAGAACGCCCACACGCACGAACGATAATGGATGGACGGCGCGTGTGCCCACGCGGGCAACGCGCGGGCACGAACGATTGGCCCTCCATGACCGCCAACATTGGATGCCAATCGTTCCCGATCACACACATGAGCGATACATTGAGCATGCATGGGCAATTCAGCCCCCATTGAAGACCCCTTGTTGCAGACCTCCTCTTTCACCCTCCAATTAGTATGACATGCGGGCCTCTCCCATCTTGCCCCGCTCCACCTCGTCCTCCTCCACATTATCTTTCTGCTTCTCCTCCCCTTGCTCCTTCCCCTCCTCCTCCTCCTCCTTCGACCTCCCCCCTCATTCGACCTCCCTTCTCCCCCTTGTCATCCTCCGCGTCCTCGTCCTTGTCGTTGTCTTCCTCCTGCTCCTCCTCCTCCTCCTCCTCCTCCTCCTCCTCCTCCTCCTCCACTCTGAATATCCAGAACATCGACATGTGAGAGAGACAGGGTCGTAGTAGCGATGTGAAATGATGATAGAGAGAAGTAGAGCAGAGGATGTGTGCTGTACAACACCTCGGCTCAAGGACTGAAAAGTCGAGTTTGGTAGCGCGACATATGCGATCCAATTTCACGGTAAAACTTCCTCTTCCATATCCTGCCCGGCCAGCCATAGCGTGCCTTGGTCTTGTCCCGCTCCTTGGGGCCTGGCTTTGGAGTCTTGCTGGTTGGAGCGACGGCGTCACCGAGCTCGTGGAGGCAGAAGGCTGGGCTGCTACGATCTACACCCATCCCGACGTCTACTACGACCTGAACACCGGTCTCGCCGCGCCAGTTTTGTACGCAGTCAACTACGACCTCTTCATCATGGACGGAGCCGCTGCAAACGTCAGTGGCGCAGACAATTCGAGATTACCCTTGGACTCTTTCACGAGAAGCACTCCACCCGGTTGGGTGACTGGAATCAAGCGATACCCGATACGGAGGTATGCTCAGCTCCTCAAGCTATGGTGGCTCCAGACCGACCTGAACGAAGAACAGTGGGGCCCAGCAATATGTGGACGACTTCGCGGACAGGTTTTCCAATTTGCGATGAGTTTACGAGCTCAACGGTGGAGCTTGGTTACTGGACAGCAGATTATGATTGAAGCTCCTGAACTCTTCGCAGAACCAGCAAATGACGCACAGCAAGTTGGCATCAACATGATTCCCGAACAGATGAGCGGCGCCAAGTTCTTGATACAGCGCATCCTTGAGGAGTACACGACCGACAGACAAGATCTCCAGTGAGAAGTTCTTACAGCGTTCTTCGAGCTCTTTCGTGGCAACAGCAAGTTTGGAGATTTCTTGGCACTATATGATTTAGCCCTCTCAGATGCGGAAGCGCAGTGCGGCTTACAGATGAACGACATAGGCAAGACTTACTTTCTTCTTCGTGGCGCTCAGCTCTCCGAACGGCAACACTTTGACCTACGTCTCCGAGTTGACGGAGATCTTTCACGATATCATGATATCAGGCGTCTCTGCACACGAATGTTTGGAGATCATGATGCGGCGAAGTCTTCAACTTTGCACGACATGGCAGGAGTATATCACGGCAGTTCGTGGCAAGACACATGGTATGGCGATTCCTATGACGAATCTGAATGGCAGTGGAACGAAGATGATACTTGGCAAGAAGAGACCTACTGGGGCGACCAGGACTGGCAAGAAGGAGAATATCCACAAGATCAGCCACATCAACACCATTCTTCTTCGGAGACAGGCGAGTTCTGGGGCAAGGGCAACAGCAACCAACGTAAAGACGGCTGTACCAAATGTGGATCAAAATGGCATTCAAGTTCAGATTGCCCACTACCTGGAGGCTCTTCAGCAAGCCATGATCATCAAGGTTCTTCAAGCAAAGGTAAAAGCAGCAGCAGCAGCAAGAGCAAAGGCAAAGGCAAGTACATGACGAACTACGGCAACAGCGGCGGCAAGAAAGGAAACTATCGGAAAGGTAAAAGCAAAGGCAGATCATCAAGCTCAAAAGGTTATCGAAAAGGCAAGAACAACTCCAAGGGCTTTCGCAGTGGACGAAACAAAGGCAAAGGTTATCGCTATCGCAGTGGTGGCACCTTTCTTCTTGAAGACGGCCCAGCCGATGTTGATCACGAATACCACTACGACGAGGACGACGGCGACATCACCTCGTGGTATGAAGGCGATGGAGTTTATGGTATGTGTCAACAGTCAACAGGAGACACATGGTATGAGTATGGCGACGGCACACCAGCTCAACATCCTTTTGCGAATGGATCTTGGGCAGCATTCGAGACGCCCGATGGCTGGGAGACCGTTGGCACGAGCAGCGGAGAGCCTACTCCACCACAGAACACACAGCAGCCGTCATGGCAAGGCCTGGTGCCTCCTGATTACTTGTCACCCGCGAGAAGTTCGGCACCAGCGGCAGCAGCAGCTTCATCATCAACTCCTGGATCAGCGAGCGCGGCATCCCGGCTGCTCCCAGAGCTCAACTTCGACAGTTTGCTGGCACGTCGCCAACGGATGCAGGAGCTCGGCATCGACGACCCGGACGACCTGGAGGCTCAGGAATCCAGATCGTCAGTGACAGCATCGACACGTACGACACGCTCAGGAAGTGCATTGGCTCGGACAGCATTGTTTACGGCATCGCTGTTTTCGATCTTTGCGTCTCACGAACAGGTGATGATACCCGACAGCCAGATGATCCAGCATCAATGGCAGAACAAGCCGCGCATCATCAACAATATGACCAACATGAACTTTCATCTGGTTCGTGGACGACCAATGCACGGCATGCTCGTCGACACGGGCGCGGCCAAGGCGATCATGGGCACGGACACCATGAAGGAGTACATCACCGACATCTTGTCTAAATACGGAAAGGTGATCGAGGTCAAGCCTTCAGAGAGCTGCTTTACTGGAATTGGTGGCCGACAGCAGAAAAGCAAAGGTTTGGCTGAGACACCTCTCGGCATTCCACTTCCTGGCATCGCGGAGGTCACGATTGACCTGGACCTGCTTGGTGACCTGGGCTCGAAGTGCCCGGGGCTTCTCCCACTAAGCGTGCTGCTTCGCCTCCAATCTTCGATTCTTTGTGGAGTATTGCAGGGAGGCGACGGTATCATGATTATCAAAGTTGTGGGTTCTGGAGGCCCTCATACGACAGCAATGCCTCAGACCTTCTTCATCAGGCTTTATCTAACCGACTCTTGTCATTACTTGCTTCCGACAGGTGATTTCAAACAAGCATCGTGGTTAGACCAGAAGAAGCTGAGGAAGACGGTAGTACAATATTTCAACGAGGTCATGCGCACTTCGACCAGCAGCCATCATAAGAAGCGGAAAGGTTCAGTTGGCATGGACGCTGGCTCCCTGACGTTAGCAGTACGAGCGTCAGGCCCAGAGGGTGAAAGTGGCCCTGAGAACTCTTCAGACATCGACGAGGAGACTACAACCACAGGATTGCACAAGATCAACATTGCACGGCAACTGGCACCAGTACCAGTTCGTGAGCCTCCGGACATGCCAACAACGACAGCATCATCAGCATCGATGGCAGCTTTGGCACTACCGACACCACCGACGAGATCGATACCGACACCAACGGAAAGCAGCAGATCATCTCCGACGTATGGAGCTACGCACGCAGTACCAGTACCTCCTCAAGGTCAGCATCCTGTCTGGAAAGGAATACCTCAGAATGGCTTCTACAAAGCATGGATGGAGTTTCCTGGTCAGAAATATTCAGTTGGCATTTGGCCTCAACACTGGAACTCAAAGCGCAAGACAGATGCTGAGAAGTACTACACGTGCATGCCAGAGGATTTCTACAATGGCAGTTCTCTTCCAGTGGTGACCCCGCTGAATGCACTCCAGTGGCTACACCACGTCACGCCGGCCATGGAGGTCAACGAGCTAGGTCACAGACTAGACATTCAGGAGATCTGCTCAGGATCATCACGACTTTCGTTGGCAGCTCTTCATCTGCGACTCAATGCAGGATTTCCAGTTGACCACAGGTATGGCTGGGATACAGGCCTACGAGATCATCAACATATCCTGGATGAGATACACGACAATCTGGGGATCTCAGTACAGTTCTTTTCCCCAAGATGTTCTCCTTGGTCAAAGGCCAACACTACGTCTAAAGCAGAAACCAAAGCACGAGCACGACAAGAAGAGCGAGCAGGCCTTCAATGGACAACGTATCGCTGCAGACAAGTTCTCGAGTCCAAGCAGAAGACCCGAGCCTTCATCTTGGAGACACCTCACGGGTCACAGTTGCTCACGGAGAGCCCATTCGCGTCAATTCATAATGACAAGCAGACCACCTCGGCGATACTTGATCAGTGTCAACATGGAGCCAAGGACATCGACAGCCGAGGCCTGCCCAACAAGAAGACGACCATCCTGGACTACGCGAATATCGAGATCAGCCAGTCCACCTTATTGCGATGCACTGGCGAGAACAAGTGCCCTCTTCATGGAGAGTTGTCTGGGAAGATTCCAGGAACCAGTACCTGGAGGACAGCTACGGCAGCAGTATATCCCTGGAATCTTTGCACAGCGATTGGCGCTGATGTAAGGCAGTTTACGCACGGCAAAGAAGGTTGTCTATCGTTGATGGTCTTCTGGACTTGCGATCGGTGCAAGCATGGAGCTCGCTATCCTGGCACTGATATGCGAGTTACGCCGGTCCACACTCGGACAGAGGGCTGCAGGTTCAAAGACACTCAAGAGCCTAACCGAGCGATTGTTGGACGGCCTCCACTACCGGGATCAGCTCAAGCTCCAGCACCTGTACCTCTTCCTCCAGAAGCGCCAGCACCGCCGGCTGGGGCGACGCCACTACCGCTGAAGAACCCATACACTGGAGTACCTCATGTACCAGCTCCAGCAGCAGTGGAGCCAGTAGCTTCCACTGATAACAGTTCGGCACAGGCAGCACCTCCTGAGCCCGATCAAGCACCACCTGCGGCACCCGCTCAGCCACTCGACGACAAACCCATCGAGGGCATGCCTAAGGTTGCCGATCTTCCTGACTACATCGAGCCATCCTTCAACATCAGGATGCTCAGGCGGAAGCTCGAGGATCCCAAGATCACGACGAAGGAGGCCCAGAAGCTACTGATGGGTCTTCACTACAAGATGTGGCATCTTCCGGCCAGCGAAATGGTAATCTTCCTGGGACGTGGCAAGTTCTCAAAACATGTGATTGATTTAATACCAGGAACGATAGCCAAGTGCAAGATCTGCGCAGGATGGAGAAGGACGTTGACAAAGCCGAAATCAGCAGGCACCATCTTGGCAACGCACTTCAATCATCGAGTACAGACAGACATATTTACACTTTGGGGTCGTATGTACGTTATCTTCGTGGACGAAGCTATTCATTGGGCGTGCTGCGACCATCTGATCACTAAGGACGCTGATACATGGCACCAAGTCTTTCTGAGATGTTGGGCACGTTATTTTGGACCACCAAAAGTTATTGTGTCCGACCAGGAAGGCGCAGTGATTGGCGACTTCATCGGCAAAGCATGCGAGGCCTACGACATCGAACGCGACCTTCAAGGATCAGAAGGACATACCAAAACTGGCTTGGCTGAAAGGCGGCTCGGCCTCATCAAGCTCGCGGCTCTCAAGCTCTACTCGCAGGTGCAGAAGCAGGGCATTCGTAAGAGCCAAGATGATTGCGTACTTGAGGCGAGTTTGTGCTCCAACTCGGTTCTGGTCTATGGGAGTTCGACGCCGAATCAGGCCCTCTTGGGCTACGAGCCTCGCGATTTCTACCATCACGACAACACGGCGATCTCGGCGACGAGCGATGCGAAGGCTGGACTTCCGGACTCGATCGAGTCCCAGATCCGCCTCAGGCTGCACGCGAAGGAGGCCATCATCCAGGCAGTCATAGAGCACCGCATCGCGGAAGCGGCGAACACCAAGCCGCAGCAGCATGCGCCGGAGACACTCAAGCAGATCGAGGAGCCAGAGGCGAAGGTGGATCTCTGGAGGGAACCAACCTCCAAGGATCAGAGCGGATGGCGAGGCCCAGCGGAAATGGTCAAATGTATCAGCAAAGAGAATAAGGCGATCATCATCTGGCGTGGCCATCCGATGTTGGTTCCACTACGACACGTTCGGCCTCATATCGGTTTCGTGTGGCTTTCTCAGATCAGCACCGCGACCAGCGACACCAGCAAGCAGCTCATCGCCTCACTTATGGACCAAGTCGAGGACCATGTTCTTGGACAGGTCTACACTTACGGCAGACAGTGGGACCAGAAGGCGCAGCAGTACATCAACGTACCCGAGGACCTGGAGGAGCGACCTCCTCGTATTCTGGCAGACGCTCGTCAGGCAGCTCAAGACCTACTCAACTTGAGCATCGATGGAGTTCAGTTCGGTTACGGCGTGAGGCACACCGAGCCGCTGATCAATGTGGATTACGGGCGCCTTATGCAGTGGACACAGCAGCTGCGGGATCAATACACGATTGCTGATATCAGGCCAGGCACCAAAGTTTCACTGGCTTCAAGAGGCAGTCATTCAGATAAGTGCTTCTTGGTGGCTTATCAGATTGCGGCACCTGACTACTTCAGGGATGATACTGCTCTTCCTGACTTAAGTCCGATGTGGAGCCCATCAACAATTCCATGGACTCCAGCACCGTTTGACGACGACAGTGTGATTTACATTCCAAGCCCGCAGTCACGGATTCCGCCAGCAGCACCTCCAGCACCACCGCAGCAGCCTCAGTATCCACCAGCAGGACCAGGACTGAATAACACCACGATGTCATCACCATCATTGACATACAGCCCTGACCAGAGCATGGAGCAGCAGGCACCGACTCCACCTCCTGCACCTTCACCTGGACCTCCTCCGGCTCCAGCAGTAAAGATCATGGAACCCAGGTCTCCTGGACTGGACAGATCGCGTTCAAGAGTAGAGCGGCATCTGACACCGCCGCCTACCTTCAAAGACGTGGCAGTATCACAGTCACCAGTTCGACCACCAGATGATCCGCCGGAACCTGGAGCAGCGAAGGTTAAAGCGGCAGCTTCACCAGAGCTAGATAGATCACGATCACGAGTCTATGGACTACCACCAGAGTTTCCTCAACATCCAAGTCCGCCTCCAGCGAAGATACCGATCTCGGAAAGTCCAATGCCAGAAGCACAGATGGATTCAGCTCCAACGTCTACATCATCGAGTTCAACGGCGTCAGCAGCAGACAGATCAAGATCAAGGATTTTGGAACGTCCGACGACATTTCCATGGCCAGCACCTCCTCAGACCATCGAGAAGCAAGATTCTCCAGTGGCTTCAGCTGGACCGAAGTTCAAGTCACCTGAAAGCGTATCAAGTACCAGGTCGAGGACTCGTGCAGAGATAAAGCGGGTTGAGATCGACGAAGTTCCCGAGAAGAAGCTCTTCGATCCTGAGTCACCTGTGGCAGACCCAGGCCAGCCTAGCGGCGAACCTCAAAATCAACAGCCAGTACTACCATTGTTGCATCCGCCTCCGACGCCGATGGAACATCAAGACGATAAGCGAGCACGAACTGGACCATCACCAGTATCACCGAGCTTACCATCGAGCTCAGTGGAATCATCAGAACCAGTACCAGCACCAGAAGCAGCAGACGCAGCAGCAGAAGCTACATTGGACCAGACACTTGAGTATCCAGATGGAGCAGCTGACCAAACTATTGAATATCCAGAAGGAGCAGCTGATGAGACCATCGAATATCCTGAAGGAGAAGCTCTCTTTTCGGTGGCACCTCCGTCATGGTATCAGTACTGTGTCTCAACTTCCAAGATCAATGAGATGCGGGACACCTCTCCATTTGACGACTTCGACCCGATGACGCATGCGGCAGAAGACGCCGGCAGAGTTCAGAGCTGGCTCACCTCAGCCAGGGCAGGCAATGCAGCTTGGACAGCACAGGAATCGTTTTTGGTTATTCCAGGGCCCTGGCAGAAGGAGACTTGCTTTTGGTATGACATTCTTGCAGACGAATGTTTCTCTGTCACTCAAGAGGACTTCTTGACAGAGGACGACGTCATCAGGCACTGGGAGCACGTGGAGAAAGGAGACAGAAAAGAGATAGCATCCTTCGTATCTCATGAAGTGTTTACCCTGGACCTGGCAAAGCACAGCACCAACACGATCGACGCAGTATGGGTACGCAAGTGGAAAACGAGACACCCACCAGAAGTCAAATCACGCATGTGTGGACGTGGCTTCATGGACGTACAACGCAAAGGAGTACATCGACATTCATCAACGGCATCAGCATTGTCACACCGGTTGGCCATCACTCTTGGAGCTCAGTACTACTGGGATTGCGAAGCCTTCGACGTTTCGACGGCATTCTTGCAGGGCTTACGCTTCCAGGAGATCGAGGCGAGGGCCAAGGAACTTGGACATGAATGCAAGAAGGTTCGAACAGTATGGCTACAACCTCCAGCCAACGTATGGCGACATCTACGGATGGTCGGATTCACGACGGTTGAGGACGTGGAGCGATCACTGTTTGTTCTATTGCTGAACAAGGCCATGTACGGATTGGTGGATGGACCGATTTTGTTTCAGATGGCTTTCCTACACTTTCTCTTGAGCGAGCTCAAGTTCTACAAGTCGCTGCACGACGACAACTTCCTGTACAAGTTTGACGAGACTGGAGCAACTCTTGCCTGCATCATTGTATTACACGTTGATGACTTGTTAGTATTGGCAATGAAGAGTTTGATTTCCTGGGTGCAGCAACAAGTTGAGCGAAAGTTTGGCAAACTGAAACAGCATACGTTACCCTTCACATGGTGTGGGATTGTTCACGAGAAGATCAGAGCGGGACACTTCTTCCTGCACCAGAAGCCGTACCTGATTCGATTCAAGCCTATCACCTTGGTCGAGAAGACTGCGGACACGGCCGAGCTTTGCGATAAGGATCACAGCTCTTTTCGCTCATTGCTGATGAGCATGCTATGGCTGACCAAGACGAGGGGTGACATCCTTCAAGAGATTGTTCAACTCCAGACCGAGATGATCAACCCGAAGGGCATCCACGTCAAGCAGTTGAACAGCGTGCTGAAGCAGGCCTTGGCTAATCAAGAGATGAATGGACTTCATTTCAGATATGTTGGACCACAGCGGCGACTGGTTCAAGTGACAGACAGCGGCCATATTACCAGCACTACCTGCTATCCACAGGAAGCGCGCATCGTTCTGTTGGCAAAGGATCATGCAGCACTACGCCACGGAAGTCAAGAGCAATACTATGGAGAAGAAGCGCGAGTTTTCGGTGGAGTGGCATGCCCATTGATTCTCAGCTCAAAGAAGTCTCAGAGAGTTTCATGGTCGACCTCTCATTCAGAGACGAACCCTGCGGTTTCTTGTGCGGCAATGGCAAACATTATAGCATCACGGATCACGGAGTTGGAATACCTTCCAGTATTCGGCAAGACACCCACGGCACGCGACCTATTGGAAGTTCACCTACGTTCTCAGCACCTGATTCCAGTGGACGTGTGTACCGATGCGATGAACCTCTTCGAGCTCATATGTTTCTCCAAGTCATTACCAAATGATAAACACCATCGAGTTGGTATTTTAGCACTGCGTGAAGATCGACTGACAAGGAGGATCAGAAATATCATTCATTTACCGACAACAGTGATGTTGGCAGACCAGCTGACCAAGAAGATGCTTTCGCCGATTTACATGCATTTCTTGACTACTGGTGAGTGGAAGATTGAGCTTAAAGAAAGGAGCATCAGATTACGACGGGGAGTGCGACGTCCGGCTACATATACCGAGCAGGACTTGAAGGACAACAACTACGAGGTAAGCTCTAACGACGTTGGCGAATCGTTGGAGCTGGACGACGACAAGATTTCCCTACTGGAGTTCCTCTCATGCTATGAGGAAGAAAATGACAACGATGATTGGAACAAGATGGATATCATACCCAAAGGTCTGTGACACCACGCTCCGACTACATAAGATAGATTGAAGAGGGTGAAAGCGGACTCTGAATATCCAGAACATCGACATGTGAGAGAGACAGGGTCGTAGTAGCGATGTGAAATGATGATAGAGAGAAGTAGAGCAGAGGATGTGTGCTGTACAACACCTCGGCTCAAGGACTGAAAAGTCGAGTCCTCCTCCTCCTCCTCCTCCTCTCCTCCTCCTCCCCCTCCCCCTCCCCCTCCCCCTCCCCCTCCCCTCCTCTTCGTCCTCCCTCCTCCTACTCCCTTCCCCTCCTCTTCGTCCTCCCTCCTCCCTCCTCCTCCTCCTCCTCCTCCTCCTCCTCCTCCTCCTCCTCTCCTCCTCCTCCTCCCTCCTCCCCCTCCCCCTCCCCCTCCCCCTCCCCTCCCCCTCCTCTTCTTCGTCCTCCCTCCTCCTACTCCCTTCCCCTCCTCTTCCCCCCTACCCCTACCCCCTCCTCCTCCTCCTCCTCCTCCTCCTCCTCCTCCTCCTCTCCTCTCCTCCTCCTCCTCTTCTCTCTCCCCTCCTCTCCTCCTCCTCCTCCTCTTCCCCGCCCTCCCTCCTCCTACTCATCCTTTTCCTCCTTTTCTCTCCTCCCTCCTCCGTCCCTCCCTCCCCCTCCCATCTCTGGCCGGAGGAGATCGAGAACATGAAGTCGGAGCATTTCGTCGCGCAGATGACCCTCAGCAAGGAGCAGATGGCGATATTCAGCCGCGACATCTCGTTCTTGCGGCAGGCCGCGCTATCGTGCGGTCAGCGTCATCTCCGTCGACGTCGTAGACGCGGCGGGCTTCGAGGTCATCCTCATCGTCGACGTCGTCGGTTGGGATAAGAAGGAGGAGGGGGGGGATGAGGAGGGGGAGGAGAGGGAGGAAGAGAAGGAGGAGGGAGGAGGAGGAGGAGGAAGAGGAGGCGGAGGAGGAGGAAAAGGAAAAAGGGGCCAGGGTGCAGTCCAAGATGTTTCAGTGATGCGCAATACGCCCACCCGTCCACAGTTCCCTCCGAAGCCCCCACAGGGATTCTTTTTGTTCCGGGGAACTCGCCCTTGGAACACGAGCGCCCCGTCGCCCCGCAGTCCAGGCGAGGGCCCCGCTCTGAAAAAGGAGCTCTCATCGAAGGGCCTTCGGCCTATCTCGCCACCGTGTTTCTGGGTCGTGTGGGTCGGGGCCCTCGGGGATGCTTCTCGGAGCCTCTTCGGAGCGCTCTCTCGGGGGCCTCGTAGGGGCCATTTGGGGGGCCTCTTGGGAGCCTCTCGGGAGCCCGGTGGGGCTCCCCGGGGGCCTCTTGGGGGGCCTATCGGGGCCTCTCTCCTGGGGGCCTCTCAGGGCCAAGAGCTCGAAATCTCCGCTCGGGTCTCCCGTCGGGGCCCCCTCTTCTTGGTGCCGTCTTGGGCCGTGCTGGGGCCCTCACGGAGCCTCGCGGAGGCCTCTTGGGCTGTCTTGGGGCTAGTTTCGGGGCCTGTTGGGCCGTCTTGGAGCGTCGGGAAGTCGAAAAGGCGAGAACGCCAAGATCCTTCAAACAGGTATGGAAAAGTGATGATGTTTGCCTCTTGGGGCCCTCTGGGGAGTGCTCTCGGAAGCTTCTTGGGGCGTCTTGGAGGCGTCTTGGGCCATCCGAAGGGCATCGCAGCCAGTCTGGAAGACTTCTAAGGCCGCCCTGGGGCACTCTTGGACCCTCGGGGACGCTGCTGACGAATTCTGTTGCTTCTTCCGGGCCGTCTTCGACGAGGTCACCGTTCGGGAGGCCCACGCCACGCACTCGGGTTTAGCGCCCGAGAGCGCCCAAGAGCGCCTGGGAAACCCAGGGTCCGGGCCGCGAAGGACTTTCCGAGCCCTCTACCTCTCGGGGCTGCGTGAGCCCTGTGGCATTCCGCTTCGTGCCGGAGGCACGGTGGCGGACCATCCACATCTCGAGGTATGAGGACGGCGACGAGGTTGGATCAGAAATTCCAAGGAAGTGTCATGCGAGAGCCCTGTTAAAAAAAAGTACCGCCTTCGATCCGCGCAAGTTTTCTCAGTTGCTCAACGCCTGGTCCTGAACAAATGGGGGGGCTCAAATAAGAGCCCCGACTTGAAGAGGAGTTGCCGCCCTCCGTCAGCGTAGCTGCTGCACAATTATAGATGCACAATTATAGATCTCTGACCATAAGGGCAAGGGAAGTGTCAAACGAAAGTTCTGCTTTGAAAAAGAGCCACATTCCACCCGTGTAACTGTTGGGGGACGTCAAGACGAATGCGCGCGGCGCTGAGGCGAGAGCCACAGATTGAGACCGGTCCCCATAAACACCGTCAACCCGCACAGTTAGGATGGGCAACCTTCCCAAGGGCACCCTTGCATCCTTGCCTCGGCCCATCCGTGGCCACTTTCGTTGGCCGCGCCCCGCTCTAAAAGAGCTTCGAAATAGCCCTCCAAGGCCCTTGCATCCTTATCGTGTGCCTTTACTCTGTGGGTCGACCGTAGGTTAAAATGCAGGGCCATTGGGCAGATTGTGCGTGGCGCCACGGCGAGAGCCACATCTTGAGAACGGCCACATTCCCCTGCTCCTTCTCGTCCTCCTCCCCCTTCTCCTCCTCCTCCTCCTCCTCCTCCTCCTCCTCCTCCTCCTCCTCCTCCTCCTCCTCCTCCTCCTCCTCCTCCCTCCTCCTCCTCCTCCTCCTCCTCCTCCTCCTCCTCCTCCTCCTCCTCCTCCTCCTCCTCCTCCTCCTCCTCCTCCTCCTCCTCCTCCTCCTCCTCCTCCTCCTCCTCCTCCTCCTCCCCCATCCGGCCGTGCAGCTGCCAACAAAACAAAGACGGTGGGAGACGGCTGAGCGCGGCTCCTGCGGCGAGAAGATGCAGTCAGCCCGCACAGCAAGGAGGAGCGATTATCCCAAGGCTGCCCAAACAGAGGAGCGAGAAGGGTCAAAAGCTGTGATTAGTTTCCCTCGATAAGGGGAACGAGCAATGACATACACATAAGATCTTGGAGGTCCGCGCGGATTTCTCGGATCCGCGCAGACCTCCGAGGCTTTATGTTTATGTCATTGTTCGTTCCCTCATCCGAGGCCGGCGAGCGGTTGCGTGCTCACCACCGTCCTTACGATCTGCTCAGCCAGGGCCCAGAGGCTTCGACGTGCAGCAGAAGCAAGAGGCAGAAGCAAAGGCAGAAGCAGAAGCGCATGAGCGACTTTCCCCAAGGTTACCTTTGCACCCCTTCCCCTTCGGCCCATCCCTGGCAACTTTCGCTGGCCAGCCCCAGTCGAAAAACGTCAGCATGGCCTTTCAAGGCCCTGGCATCATTGCCGCGCGTCCTTGCTATACGGGTTGACTGCACGTGTTGAAAACGAGCCGCTTTCCGTCCGTGTAATGTTGCTGGTGTTTGGGATGTGCGCGGCGCTAAGGCGGGAGCAGCATTTTGAAAATGGCTCCCCATCCCATTCGTCTACAATCGGTTGGGAATGTTTGAGCCGAGTTTGCACGGCGCTATGGCGAGAGCCTCACTTTCAGAACGACCACCACCACCCTTTACCCGTGCAACTGCTGCAAACATGTAAGTCGAGCGTGCGCGGCGCTACGGCGAGAGCCTCATTTTGATAACAAAAGCAAGACTCCCTCCGCGTAAGTGTTGGAATGTGCGCCGCGCCACAGCGGGCCACAGTTCGACCCTTACCATCCGTCTCAATGTTGGCAGCAGTCAGTACGGCGATAGCCGCATTTTGGAAATGGCATTCCCTCCATCTTTGTACAGGGCCGTTTGTTATACATGTATCAAAAATGCAGGGATTTAGTATTACACACAGCGATGAGTTCATGCATACATTCAGCCATAAATAAATCATGTATTATAATCCTAAAGTTTAGAAATCCTATGTATTAGAAACTGCCCTGTAGCTTTCGAAGGTTCGAGCTTCGAGGCTACCGAAGACGCCTGCGGCGAATCACCCTCGCCTCCTGCCTTTTGGAAGCGCCTGTGCAGCCGAACCTTCTGGCCAGAGCTCGGCCACGCCATCGGACTGCGTGTCCCCCAGCCGTTGTGCGAACCCTTCGGGAAACACTAGGGGGAGAAAGAAGAGAACGAGGGAGGAGGAGGAGGAGGAGGAGGAGGAGGAGGAGAAAGACACTTGAGAGCTTTCGGGACACTCTCGGGGCCTCCTGTGTGCATCCTGGGGGCCTCTTGGACGCCTTTTGGGAGCCTCCCTGGGCCTCTTTGGAGGCCTTTGGAGGCCCGTTGGTCGTCTGAGGGCGTCCCTGGCCCCGTCTGACGCCGTCGGAAGCCGTCTTGGAGGCCTCTCCGGGCCGACTTGGGGCATTCTTGGGGCGCTTTAGGGCCGCCTCGGAGGCCAGCCTGACGTCTGGGAGGTCTCCTGGGCAGTCTTGGGGGCATCTTGGGCCGTCAGGGGGCCATCTCGGAGGCCTCGTGGGCGCTTTGGGGCCATCCTAGTGCCTCTGAGGCCGTCTTGGGCCGTCGGAAAGCCGAAAATGAGCAAACGCCAAAAACCGTCACACACTTATGGGAAATCAGCGAATTGGACTTCTGCGGGCCTTCCTTGAGGTCCTCTGGGAGGCCTCTTAGGCCGCCTTGGGGGCCTCTTGGGCCGCCTTGGGCGATCTTGAGGCCATCTTGGACCATTTTGGCGGCATGTCGGCCCGTCTTGGGGACAGGACGGGCCGACATGGCTCGCTGGATTGCTCACCTACGTGGTTGGGCGCTTCTTTTGCACGGTGTTTAAGGTAGCTCACTGGCTGCACGCTTGCGTCGCCGAGCGTGTCATCGTGCTGCTGCGTCCGCTCTCCCGCCTCCCCTCCAACACAGCGCTGTGGACATCGTGGGGCCATCTTTGGGCTCTCTTTGGGGCCCTCCTCGACGTCTCAGAGGCCCGCTTGGCCATCCTGGGGCCACGCTCCGGGGGAAGGTCGACGGAGACCAGAAGCGGCGGGGCTCTCCGGGCGACGGGTGCGATCCGTCGAGAGCCCCACGTGGAACTGCAGGGGACAACAGAACTGCCGGTGCACTCGTCGGGCCCTGAATGCCTCCTCTTGGGCCCCACAGGGCCCTTCTAGGGGCCCCAAAGGGCCCCTTGACTGCAGCGCCCGCTGCCCCCCCCAGTCATCGTCCCCAATTGCAGTAGGAGCTCGACCACGAGAAGACTGCCACAAGAAATCCAACCCTGAGACCCCAGGAGGTTCATTGATTTCTGGTGCATGGCACTCCGTGCACGCCCTGTGGCAATCCACAGGGGACGGCGGACTAGTGGTCTTCGGCCCATCCCGCCACCCTGCCTCGGTTGTAGGACAGCGGCTGGGGCCCTTCGAAAAATTAATGGCAATGCGGGAAGACGCCCCGGGCGAGGTGGGAGCCTCGGGAAATTTGAGAGTTTGGGCCCCGGGCCCTTTTAAAGGTCTTCAGCATTGGGGATTCAGGCTGAGGGGATTGAGCAAGGAACCTGATAACACTCCAACCCGTGCCTCGCAGGCACAGTGGCGGATTACTTGGGGGGAAATCTCCGGCGAAACGCCCAGCCCGCCCTACCGACACGTCTGGTGGTCGGTGGTCAGACGAGGAGGAGTTATTTACAAAGAACAGGGATGAAAGGAGAAGGGGGATTCGCTCGCACGCTGGGGCGCGCAGCAGCGTTACAGTCAACCCGCATAGCAAGGATGGGCGACCTTCCCAAGGGTACCCTTGCATCCTTGCCTCCTCGGTCCATCCTTGGCCACTTTTCGTTGGCCGCGCCCAGCTCGAAAAGCTTCGCAATGGGCGCCCAAGGCCCTTACTTCCTTATCGCGCATCCTTGTGATACGGGTCGGCTGCATCTACAAAGAAAGGGATGGAAGGAGAAGGGGGATCTGCTCGCACGCTGGGGCGCGCGGCAGCGCTACACCCGGTGGGGGGGGTCCATTTGTCACCGTCCTCGCGCTTCAGTGGGCCATCCATATCGGCGCTCCGCAGAGTGCACCTCGTGCCGCGGAGAGGCTTGGTAGATGTTGCTTGAACCTGTGCCACTTGCCATTTACCATTTACATTACATCATGATCATCATCAGCAGCAGCAGCATGACAGTACCTCTCCTTGATGAGAGCCTCTGAAGCACAGCAGACAGAAGTAGTCATGCCGGGCCGAGGTCGGGAAGGTCCTGGGATAGCCTTGGATAATTGTTGTGCGATGATTGAGGCCAGAGGCCAGAATCCGGAAGACACCCGGAAAATTGCGCTTGCATGCCGAAGCCCAATGTGACAGCGTTGAGGTCGGATCTGAGTTCAAGTGCCACTCAGCCCCGAGACCCCAGGAGCTTGATTCCTCCGCCGCCGAGCGAAGCCCCCAAGGCCGCTCGCGCCAGGATGCTGTGGGGCGAGGGCGAGGCTGGCAGCATCATTGCGGCCACACCGCTGCCCCGTGAACGGTCCAAAGGACTTCTCGCTTTTCCTGCCGCTAGGCGAAGCATCAAAGGCCGTTCGTGCCAGGATGTTGTGGGGCCGGGGGGTAGGCCGGCAGTGTCCTTGGGGCAACGCCATTGCCTCGTGAGTGTCCCAAGGAGTTGTCGTCACTGGGGGGACAGCAACGTGGCGCCTAAGCCTGCTTATCAGGCGTGGTTCCCGCGTCCACCCCCTCTGGTTTCAGAACCCCCCACCAGGGCGGTGGCCCCAGCAGGGCTTTCGCAGCCAGCCAACTTGGAAGCCATGATTGTCGACCAGCGCAGATTTCTTGGATCTGCGCTGGACCCCCCTCCCTGGCGCGAGGAGCCAGGGGCGGCGCCGGAGGCGCCGCCGGGGGGAGGGGGCGGAGCGCGCCAGGGGCGGCGCCAGAGGCGCCGCCGGGGGGGGGGCCCAGCGCAGATCCAAGAAATCCACGCGGAGCGCCGCAAGTTTAGGTTAATGGCGTTTTCCCTTGTTCTGATTCTGACA